CACACACACACACACACACACACACACACACACACACACACACACACACACACACACACACACACACGGAGATATGCTCTTGTCATAACCCACACAGACAAGCACCTGGACCTGGTTACTGGACTCCAGTGAAAGCTTCATACTATGTGCATGCCTGTGAATATAAGTGGGCGTATGGGGAATACTGGGATGTGGGTTGTTTGGGGCTGGAGGCTATGCTTGCTTTTTTATTATTCTGTTAGAAAAAAAACAAAGTGGTTAACTGCTACAATATGTAGCCAAAACAGTTATCATTGAACATGTTAAAGTATAAAAAAGTAAACAATCAAACTGGTCCCCATATATTTAAATGAAATAATGCAAAATATGAGTCTTTGTAAATGCAAGTTTCCCAGTTACACAAACAACATTTTTGTTAATTTGAGTAAGGTTAAGGAATATGTWGCAGTCTAGTTAAGGAAAGTTGTGTTTTGTTTTCTGTCTGAGAAACCAGGTTAATGGTCTGTTAATTGGCAAACAGTGGTGCAGGACTGTGTGGAAACAAAAAGCAAACTGTCACTTCAGTTTCTCCTCTCAGTTTCCACAGTTCCAGACTGCAAAGAAGTGAGATGACTCTCAAACATTTCCAGTCAATAAGTCAACCTAACAGGCAGGCTGTCAACACCCAGGAGACAAACGTTTTTTTTTTCTCCCTGTCAATGTGAAACATCGCGCYGCACCACGCGCTGCGTGTTTTTCCGCTTTAAAGTTTACTCACCTCGCTTTGTTGCTGTCTTAATTCGATAGACAGACTCAGCTCAGAAACACTTCCAGGTAAAAGATGTGTCACTCTGAAGTTAAAGCTTTTCTCTCTGCCTGAGTCGCTTTCGCGGTCACTGACGGACTGAGAAAAAAACGGGCCCAGTGGGCAAAAATGTATAAAAGTGCCCCCCTTCCTCTAACCACCTCTCATGCCACCAACAAAAACTCAGACTAAAAAAAAAAAGAAACATAATGTATATGTCATAATTCGTAGTTATTTTCTGAACCAAAATGTATGTGCAGTAACTATTTCTGCACATTTAACTTTTTTTTTTGTTGTGTAACCCCACTTCATTCTGGCTATATTGTGCCTCAGTCAGTGTAAAACTAGCTCTTCCAAATTTGACTGTAATAATGTCATGTTTTTAATACTGTAAAGATAGAAAAGATTAAAGTGTTTTATTTTATTTTATTTATTTATTTATTTTTTACTTTTTTGTTTTGACAGTTTTTTCTTTAGGGCTGTATTTCTTCTGGTTTTGGAGCCGATCCCCTGGTGGTCCAGTCTTTATCTTCKTAGTCACACAAACCTGCTTCTTGACCCCTTTAAAAGTCACTCATCTGTAGACGGTTTACCTAGTGGTACAAAGGAAGTATGTTTATTATGTCTGAGTGAAGTCCAGCTTTGAGCTAAAATCAAAATAATCTTGCACACACTAGACCTCTTCCATTTTAAAGCCCAGGATCAATTTGTGTTACCAGATTTTAAGCATTTCAGATTAATATATACTTCATATGTGGTAGCCTTTTGCCTGCTACATTAACCTGTCAATTAGCATTAATACAGCCAACATATATTTTTTCACAGTAGATTCATATTTTATTTTTTTCCAATATCTAGTACAGTTCATCAYCCATATTTTCCTTATTTCACCTTGGCAGGAAGTTTATTATTTTAAAACAATATCAAAGAAAACCAAAACTGAAAGAAGATAGAAAAATRCAAGACTTTTCTTGTAGTTATAGTTAGTTAAGCATGCAATTTATTGAACAACTCAGATTATTTTTAGTATTTGCAAATACGAAGTTAAACTTTTTTTCCCTTTTTTCATGTTTAAGTTTGCTGCTCCACACACCTTTCACTACCACCCCACAAAAGAAAAACTTTTGCATTAGGCAGCATTAATGTAAAGTAAAAATATTTATATAGATGATTTGTGGATACTCAAATGTAATAAAACAATTCCATTCAGTTTATCAGCAGTTTTTGAACATAGCAAACCAACATAGTAAAACCATTGCAGGCCATTGCTGCTACAATGCATACATCATGAAGCAACAAACAGCTTTCTCAGATTCTCTTGTTTTATATGAAATAAATAAAAACAAATTTAAAACTGCTTGGTACAGAATTCAGAACTTATCAAAAATATGCAGTACAGAAAAATAAATAAACACTCATTTATACGTATCATATCGTCATTTTAGGGTGATTTCAATCATCCGAAGTCAATATCTCTTTCCTTATAAAATACGTTTTTTTTAATATTGTAATTCATTTACATGAGTAAATTCCTTTTTTGTGGTGACACAAATGTACATGAAATGTGTTTATGATAAAAAAAATACATTTAAGACAGTATGATAAAAGGAAAACATAAAAAAACTCACCCCATCAATGTAATAACAATACAAAACAATAAAATTCTGTTTTTCACTAACATCATATTTTCTAAGTTTGTGACATATTATAGCTATATGATTACCAAAAGACGAAGCAACACAATTAAAAAATTGTGTTTCTGGAACTACAGCTGATCTGGTTGTTGAATCTGAATATAGTTTAACAGATAATAAAACTRGCATGTTAATGTTTGCACGAGTCTAGTTTACTAATATTCTTCTTGTACAAGGTACCCAATATGTGTATGAATTTACATTTTTACATAACCCAAGTATTATTTGATGCCATTGAATTCTATAAGTAGAGGATGTTTTTCTTGGCAGAAACTGGTCAAAACTCAGYACATCCATTGGCAACCTCTAATACAGGAACCCACCACCATGCAGGGTAAGTATCCTCACATCTATTCTGCTTTCAGCCGGGGAATTCTCCAACAGCAAAAGGTCTGAGGTTCATATCTTCACTGAGTGAGCGTGCTTCTTGCAAAGAGGTTTATCCTTCCTCGAAAAGAAGGTCTGGCCCTCTAGAGTGGCACAGCACACCTTTAAAAGAGCCAAAACAAAATACAAACACATGACAAAGTCTTTCTGGATKGCATCTTCTTAAAGTATTTAAAGGAGTCATTGGTTTTTAATCAGGTCCAGATAGAGACTGCTTATATATACTCAAAAAAATGTACTTTTACTATTTCTAAGTCACTGATTTCTATTGTAATGATACAGATTTTCAATGGAATGAAATGAGCAGGAATGTACTAATAGAGATGAAAATAACATAATATGGAAACTTTTAATTAGATTTTTTTTTATTCCAAATCTCACTTGGATGGACTACTTCATCATACCTTTATTTAAAGAAGCAAATCCAACTGAGATCACTGATCTCTTTATTAGGGTATGTCTGGGTCTGAAAATAAACTAAACATGCATGTTTTTGAACTAAGAAGGAAACCGGAGGACCTGGAGGAAGCCAACACAAACACAAGGGTTTTCACGAGGATGCATGGATGCGTAAATTTTTGTTATGAATGGTGCAGCACAAAGAGAAGCTATTTACTGTACTTAATCATTATGGCCTTATCCTAACATGTGACTCTGTTTAAACTCTGTGTTGAGACACTTTTGTATTTCATCATCTGAATGGAATATTTTCCCAAACAATTCATGGAAAATGGGTAGAAGTTTGTGAATTATGCATAAACACCATATCTCAAAGGAAAAAAAAATTGTATAGGTCTTCTGGACGGGTTCTTCTTTAATGCAACGTTTCGTCTCTCTTCCAAGAGACTTCTTCAGTCTGAGAGTTTCAGGCAAATTCAGGCTTTTATGTCCTGCCTCCAGGTGACTGATACTCACATCACATGACCATCGTTCACAGGTGACTCATACTCACATCACCTGGCTATGGCTCACAGCCATGTGA